TAGACATAGGATGTATCATAGCAGATTATTGTATATTCTTGTATTCCACCCTTATGATTGTTAGTTTTGGATATTTTACACTATTAAGTTTTAATCCTCTCTTAGACTAAAAGGGGAATTGTAGGGAGTAACCCTAGCCCCGCCCAATAGTCCTGGGGCAGGTACCAGGTGGACCTGGGGACTCGCCCATAAGGGCAGGGTGAAGGAAAGCCGGCATGACGTAAAGGGGGCTTCTTAAAGGACTGCACGTGGGGACCGGGCTCTCTCTTTGTTCTGGCCGCGCGGGCTGGGTTCTTAACCTAGCTCTGGCCTGTGTTTCACCCGGTTGTGCTTGGAAATAAAGAGACCTTAATCCAATAGTAACGTTTGCCAAAATAATTATTCCAAAACTCGTGACTACCTGACAATTCAATACTACCTTCCTAAGAGAAAACCTGTACGTGTATACACAAGAAACTTCAGTCCCGAGGGCTATAAAAAGCAATTACTGCCACTGAATTGCACACAAACAATTTAATGTTGCACTAGAAGCTAAGTAAAATCAAGTAGTTAATGTGCATTTCAAATTAGCACCTGATATCTGAGAAATGAGTTTCATTGACATTTTTAAAAGCTCCCAATAGAAACAAAATATCTATCATGAGCAACATAAATGTGAATTACACTTATAAAGCAGTATGCAATATTTAAACAAAGGGTATCTTACACTTCAACATTTTTCTGTTGCAGACCAGATGTCTTCTTTCCCGGAGCAGCCCCTCTCATCTTGCCCTCTGCATACTGTTCCCTTCAAAAATAATGTCAAAAAGTTACACTTAGATGAGAAACAGCAAAATAAATGAATACAAATTTTTTCTGTTATTAAAATTAAAGTCAATGTAGTACAAATTGACTAACATATGGTCTTAGAAACTACAAATCCCAGTGCTATACCTAGTTGGGAATTTACTAACATCCCAATGTTTTCTTTTAATGTAACTCCATGTTATAACTTTAATTTTTAAAATATAAAAATGCTGTAAAATTAAAATGAAATAACTACTCTATAGATAATTTCTTTGGATCCTTTTCCTCAACATATTTTCAGAGATGAATATTGATGGGAACACCTCTTCTTTTTCATTTCCCCATCAGTTAACTGTGCCTTCCACAGCACCCAAGAAGAGGTTAAACAAGGTATTAATGAGTTTGCATTTACAATTTCCAATACTATTTTTCTACTAAGTTCTAAAGACAGACTCAGAAATGACAAGATATTTCTTTTACCCAGAAAATACGTAATACGTAATTACTTGAAATCAAGCTTTAACACAAGAACTAACAAGTACCCAAGAATCATTTTTATCAAAAGTAGAGAGGGAGACACCTACATGATCCCATTTTGTTCATTCCATGTCCAAAAATCTCAAAATTCCTTTCTCAAAACAACTTACTGATTGGCCTTTTGAAGCTCTCGCTGTTTCTGCAAATTGGTGTCCACATATTTGAGGACTCGGCTTTCTGGAACCCATTCATCCCAACTGAAAAACACAAGTTAAAATAGCAATGAAATACGTTTTTAATAGTTTAGGCTCTCTTCCAACTAACTTTTAGAAATCTAACAGGTAAACTTTGGAATTCCCTTGATAAGGTTTAATTTTGTTACATCTACTTGTGTGTGTATGTTCAAGTGCATGTTACAGAATGTGTGCAGAGGTCAGAAAACAACTTTTGGGAGTCGATTCTTTCACTATGTAGGTCCTGGGGATCCAACTTGGCTCTTCATCCTTGGAGGCAAGTACCTTTAACCATTGAACCAGCTTGTCAACCCTAGGTTTTTTGAGACTTTTTTAAAAAATGAATTCCAAGTTGGCCTTGAATCCACGATAATCCTCTTGCCTCAGTATCCCAAATTCTATAATTACAGGCATGCTCAAACCATGCCCAGGTTTTTCTGAAATAATTTGATAAGCTGGCAATGCAAATCCATTCTTAAAAGAAAAATCTAAGCAAAATGTGTTCTAGTAAAAATCAGCATTCTGAATATAAACTATGTATGTAGATTATTCAAATCATTTTAAATGGTCTAAGAATAAGTCATTTAAGTCTCTAAGCCATTAGCCTTTCAGAATTATAGTAGTATCTTAAGTCACATAGCTAAAGGTGTACCAGGAACACATAATAGTCTACAATACTCACCACCAATATAACTAGACTAAGTTTGTACATTAAAGACTTGCAGTAGTGTTTTTTTGTTTTTTTCTTTTTCAGATAACCCATTGTTCACTTTCATCTACTGAAAGTAAGCATTCAAATTTCCAAGGATAATCAGAGGCTTTCTAAAACTCAGGTATTTGGCTTTTCACAAAGCAAGGTTTTTGCTGGTATGTATGGGAAAACAAAACTTTCTTGTGGAATGTTCAACTTTTTAAGCAAACTAACTTTTGAGCAAAATTAGTCTTTTCTCCTGCTGATGGAGCTCCATTAGTGACACAATCAGATGTATTCTCGAGGCAATCTTTTACTTAATGATTTCCCACCTCTGACCTCTTATAGAGTATAGCCAAAAGGAAAACTAATAAATAAAAAAAACATTCCTCAATATGATTTCCTAAAGAAAACTTTAAAACATGCATTTACCTAGAGGTCAGGAGGGGGTGGTGTACTGAGGGAGCTCCTTCAGGAACAGGAAAAAGGGCTACAATATCCTCACGTGTCTTCAAAGATTTTTCAGAGCGCCTGGGCCTCACAGCACTTCTGATACAGACAGCATAGTACAAAGTAATCTCAGTAACTATGTGCAGAATTTAGCTTAAGCTTTATCAAGATTCATTTACAAATGGAATAGTTTAATGTCTGTATTAACAAATTCCAGTAAGATTTTTTGAAAATTTAGAAATATCTTAGTATCTACTGTGATTTTTGATCGTGTATTTAAAATAATGTCTAAAAATTCCACTTTGAAATTGGAATTCTGCTGTACCAGTGTGTTTAGGTGTTCACAACAGGGCATAGTGGTGCACACCTTTAATCCCAGCACTCTAGATGTAGAAGGTAGATCTGAGTTCCAGGCCAGCCTGGTCTACACACCGAGCTCCAGACCAGCCAGGGCTACGCATTAAGATCCTGTCTATAAATAAATCGATGAATGAATGAATGAATGTGTCCTCCAAACTTTCTTTTTTGGGGGGAGTAGGGAGGGTAGGGGTGGAAGTGGTTGGGTGCTGGAGATTGAGCCAGGGCTCCACACATGCTGGGCAAGAAAGAGCTATACCACTGAAATGACATCCCTATCCATGAAGTTCCTTCAGAAAAAAACAAGCTATATCCCCTTTCTCCTAAAATTAAAAGGTGTGAACATTTAACTGCTTTAAAACCTTAGAAATTGACCCCCCCCCAGATATAAACCACAACTAAGTAATAAGCATTCTGACCAATAACCAAGTCACTCCAAGAGCTTATAAGCAAAGAGCGGAAAGTCCCTGCTGAGGCTGAGAAAAACAAAATGGACAATGATCTTTATTGTGAGGATCTCTACTAGACTAATAGCTGAGGACCACTCAAATTTTTATGTATAGATCAAGCATGTAACTTACAGTATGTTCCAAAGTAGATGTTACTAATCCCAAAAGTCAAATCCACAGACAAAATTGAATACATATACAACATACTTGGCAGTCATTAAAAAAAATACTCCTCTTAAATGTTTTTAAGTTTCTCTAGAACTAGATGTGGTGGAACAAGCCTGTAATCTCAGCACTCAGGAGGCAGAAAGATTACTTCAAGTTCCAGGACACCCAAAGCTACATACAAAACAAGACCAAATTTCAAAAAAGGAAAGTGAAAAACCACTTCTAAATACTTCCTAAACTCTAAAATGGCACGTTTAGCAAGTCAACTATAAAAGACTCCTATGATATCTTAATTTTTCTCAGTACATTACAAAGACAGTCATAAAAACTTGTACTACCACCACCCCTTATTTTCCCAAGAGAACAAAATTTAAATAAAACTGTATCACTTATTTCTGCCATAAACTACAATCCAACAAAGGAATCATTACTTTTTGAAAAAGTAAGACCAGAAAACTGGAGGCTTTGGTTTTTACAACTTATAACAATCTACAAAAATAGCTAACAAATAGAAAATGACCTGTACATATCCATGTATAATTTTTCACAAAATACTAATATACAAGAAGACTGAAGCATAAAAGCTGTATTCACAGCTACTGAATTCTAAATTAAAGTGTGCAAGGGAAGGGGAAGTAGGCCCACTCCATGAATGTGTTTTGTGTTTTCCTTTCATACTTTCATAGTTTATATGGACTTTTAACTTTCCCATCCCCAATATGCATAAAGACGATATTCTACTTCCTGAAGTAAAGTCTATTACATATTTTATCTGAATATTAGCAAAATAGCAACATGTGAAATATAAGCTTCATAAACTAAAGATGAAAGTTTTCAGTTATTTTTTTTTAATATGGATACTCCAGAAACCATAACATAAAAGTCTGGTTCCTAGATACTACAATCAGCTTAAAAATAAAAATGTAAGCTGGGCAGTGGTGGCGCACGCCTTTAATCCCAGCACTCAGGACCATAAGAACTAGTACCAGGACAGCCTCCAAAGCCACAGAGAAACCCTGTCTCGAAAAACAAAACAAAACAAAAGAAGACTGGAATCTTTCTGACATACAGTATCTACTGATAATTATTAGAAATACTTTATTCACGAGTTATCAGAGTATGTTTTCATGTATTTTGAATTATAGTCTTTCTGTAATTACACTAACGGTATATGGGATGAGTTAAAAATTCTAAAAGCATCTACCTATTTGTAATAAACTGAATTAACTAGTTGGTCTTTCAGATAAAGGACTATATAAGGTTAGACGAAAATTATGGGCCAGTAAACTTAATAGAAGAGAAAGTCTCCCTCTACGTTGTTCCCACGTAAAGAAACACCAGACTCTGGATCAAGTTAGACAAAGCATTAAGCATTACAAGATGTCAAAGTAATTCCTGAATGGCTAGTCCTTTGCAATGTCATCCTGAAGTACAAAAGATCAGTAAAAAAATTATTTAAAACTTCCCCTACTAAGCTGGGTGAGGCGGCACATGCCTTTAATCCCAAACTTGTGAGGCAGAGGCAGGTGAATCTCTGGGAGTTTGAGGCCAACCTGGTCTACAAAGTGAATTCCAGGACAGTCAAGGCTATACAGAGAAACCCTGTCTCAAAACAACCCCCCCCCAAATCCCCGTATTAATAAGTCACTCAATTCCTGACACCAAAAAAAGCCAGAATAATTTATTAGGTGCTGTTACATTTGGGTCTCAAAGAGAACACTACTGAGAAAGCTCCAATGACCACTAGAAAGTTAAATTCTGTAAACAAGACTTTTCTACGCTGAGCCACATGAAACAACTTTCTGTTAGCATTGTGCTTCAAAACTTCATAAAATGGATTTATAAACTGTCATTTCTAAAACATATTATTCCTTTTCTCCAACTAGTTTTGAGTTTAACTGCTGGAGTAAGAATTTTAAGTCATTTGTTTTGTGCTTAGGTCAAAGTATTAAGGTTATTCTATAAGATACGCCATAAAAAAAAGTATGCTGGCCAACCACTTATAATTCAACCACTGGGCACTATAAAATACGAGAAATATTTCTCAAAACCAAGTAATATATATAAAATAATTGAGTTCTTCCTAATATAGTTTCATTATACTAAAGATGACTCACCCTTGCTTCAATATATATAACAGGAGACAAAATGCTTTTAAGATCTCATACTCACTTTTTATTCCAACCACTGTAATGGATAAAGTATTTCACTTGTTTGTCCTTTATGGCAACCTTTACACACTGAAATAAAAAAGAAAAAGTCTTTGGTATACACATAAATCTTATTTCTTAAAGACAAAAGTATATTTGCATCCTAATGACAGATACTCTTTTTAAATAATTAAACTCTTGGCTGATTTAGTACTGTAGAGCTTTAATTAGAGCACTTTCAAGTACTGAGAGTTGTCATTTTAATTTTATAATCCTAGTGCTGAGAATACTTTTCTATAAAGTTACCAAACTGCAATTTAGAAATAAACACAAAGCTTGCAGACAGCATTAAAAAGAGATCACTAGCCAAACAAAATAAATTATTGGAGGAAAGTCGCTATGACAAGGATGTTCACTGAAGGTAAACCAAACAGCTTATTCCATATTGTTCACCATAATATTTTGCTGCCAGAGAAAAAACAGCCAGTTCAGATATGTTGCCAGAAGTTCATACAACAATGGAAAACATACAATACCATTAAAAGGACTCACAATTATAAGCACTTACATATTCAAAACATGAGCAGTAAAGAACTGTCTGCCACTATGTTAGTATTTTTATACAAATATAAACTTGCTAGAAATTTACACAGAAATCACTTTCAAGCATTATGCTTTGTATATTTATATATGAACACTGGGCTCTGTATGTGTTGGGTGTGTTTATGTGTTGCTAAGCTTTTGTTGGTTTTCTGTACTGGGGACTGAACCAGTACCTCACTCGTGGAAAGCACTTTATACCACTGAGCTTTGTCCCCTGCCTTGTTTACCACTTTGTGAGACAGGGTCTCACTAAGGTCATCCTTGAATTCTGTATCCCAAGTAATCTTTCTGTCTCAACTTCCCAAGTAGCCTGGTTCATTGACCCATTTCACTCAGTTTATATGTATGATTTTGGGGGGATGGTGGTGATGGTGACAGGGGTAGTGGTAGTAACAATGAGTACTGAGCTCAGGGCCTCAATCATGGTAGCCTACAGCCTTTGTTTTTGTTTTTTTGGTTTTTCTAGACAGGGTTTCTTCTCTGTGTAGCTTTGGAGCCTATCCTGGCACTCCCTCTGGAGACTAGGCTGGCCTCGAACTCACAGAGATCCATCTGCCTCTGCCTCCCGAGTGCTGGGATTAAAAGTGTGTGCCAATGCCCAGCTGTTTTTGATTCTTAAATGCCTGCCCAGGCACACTTTTAATTCCAGCATTGAGGAGGTAGAGGCAGGCCCATCTCTGTGAGTTCAAGACCACTCTGGTCTAAATAGTGAGTTCCAAGCCAGCTAGGGCTACAAATATGTCTCAAAAGTAATGTTTTAAAAAAATAAAAAGAAATTCCTATAATCCCAGTCCTCAAGCAGTCAAAATAAGATCAGGAGTCTAGACTAGCTAGCTATGTACTGAAGTTAAGAACAATCTGAGCTCTACAGTAAAATCCTATATTTAAAAATAAAGGGCTGGGGGTGTAGTTTACTGGTAGAGCACTTCTCTAGCAAACAAAAGGCCCCAGTTTTAAGCCCCAGCAGTGTCAAAAGATGATGGGGCAACTTCTAATTTTCTGTGCTGGGCTGGGTATAGCTAGCTCAGTGATAGGGAACATGGCTAGAGTGTTTAAATCCCTGGGTTCAGCACTAGAAGGATAGATAACCCAACCTCAATTCTGCCAAAAGTCATTAGAAATAAAATAGTAAAACTAATTCTAGACTATAAAATACACTGTTCAGGGCATGGGGCTATAACTACAGTGGAAGCTCTCTTTCAAGCATATGCAAACCCTGCGTTTAATCCTGAGCACTGACAACATTTTTAATTAAAATAAAGATAAATGTATTTTACTGTTAACTCTGGCTCCCCGCCCCCCTTCTCTTTAGTTTGAGACAGGGTTTCTGTGTGTAGCCCTGGCTGTCCTAACTCACTCTGTAGACCAGGCTGGCCTCGAACTCAGAGATCACCTGCTTCTGCCTACCTACTGCTAGGATTGAAGACACCACCATCAGGCATCTAAATTTAAAGTCAATTTTTATATAACAGGAGCACCCGATCAAAACAGGAAAAAAAAAAGAGCCTTGTTCACTCAGGATTCAAATTTTACCACTGAAATCAACAAATAAAAGTTAAACATATATGACAGCCAGAGCATGGTGGTTCACATCTGTGTGAGACCTTGGAATGAGAGGGTGAGGCAGGGGGCTTGCTGTTAGTTCAAAGCCAGACTTGAGCTAGTGAAAACTCAAGTCTCAAAAGCATCAGACAAACACAAAGAGAAACACAAATATACACCCTCATATTCAAGTGCACAGAGAGAAGGTAAATATCAACTGTTAAGGCTGAGGAAATGGCTCAGGGGATAACAGTGCTTGCCATGCAAGCAGGATGACCCATATGATCCTAGAACCGAATGGTTCAGGTACTCCTACAATGAGATGGAAAGCAGAGAAGAAAAGAATCCCAGGAAATCTGAAGGTCAGACAGAAGAGACTGCCTCAAAACAGAAGAGGAAACTGGGACTTGAGGTTGTCCTCTGACCTCAACACTCATGAGGTTTTACATATCTGCATGCACAAGTGCTTGCAAGCACACACACAGCCAAGTGTTGCGCTGGTATTGTTTTCTGGTATCATTGAGTTATTAACTATAAAATGCTATTTGTTACAACCAACCAACCTTCACCCATCACTTAAATGCTATTCCCAACCAAGGGGCCTTTGCTGAGTTAGCTTAGAAAGGCAGAAGAGTAGCAGCTTAGAAAGGCAGAAGAGTATCGATAACTCAACTTTTTCCATCCGCCACAAAGCAAGCAGTAACAAACTCAAAATGAAATGGGAAGATTTATCAGCCTATGAAAAAATTGGAGTCTTTACATATCCAGGAAGAAAATACTATAATTAGATATTAAAAAGCTAAAGCTAGCCAACATTTTTTGTCCACCTTCTCAAAAGAAAGCAGGTTCCATACCTTTGCTTCATAGAGAAGAGGCCCATGAAAGCACAGCACTCTCTCACCTGTAAAAGAGGGGAAAGGGGGTCAGGTTAATTATGAATCCTTTGTCATACAGAAACAAGTGACTCCAAGAGCCACTACACTTGCTTATAGTAGTCGTAGGAAAAATGAACTATTCACGAATGCTTCAGAACAAACTTTTCCCATATCCTTAGTAGACCAACTTTTATTTAAATAATATAATCCCCTAATAAAATCTACCTACCTATATACCTAAAATCTATCTACCTTTTATCTACCTAATAAAAGTTACCTATGGGATAATGTTTAGCTAGTTCATCTGTTCTAATATGGAGACAGAATTTTTAAAATGTTCTAAGTGTAGTCACTTGACTGATTTCTGCTTCCTTTTACTGAGTACTACACATTAAAATTTCCGATGAAATACACGAGATGAATTTTAAGTTATCTAACCCATGTTTGTTTATTCCTCAGTATTCTGGAAGCTAGACTATTTTTATGAACAGACAGAATAATCCTAAACCTGGGAACTTATACCCAATGTTGACTCTACCAACCATACTTGAAAATCCAAATTAAATCTGGCTAGAGTTAAAACTTGAAGGGGGGTGATTTCTGGACTCTGACTTCACATGATGATAGTGGAAGTTTATCCCACACATTATTTTCAGTCCACTTGCTTTCAACACATTGCTTTCAACACTTGCTTTCAACACAGGGTCAGCTGTGTGGTTATAAAATCGCATCTACTAGTCCTACCTACACCTTTAAATCCCAGCAATCTCGAAGCAAAAGCTGGTAATTTCTTGAGTTCAAGGCCAGTACATCTACATAGGCCAGCCGAAGGTACATGGTGAGACCCTCTCTCTCTCTGGATCTGAAGTGTGCCAAGCATTTCATATTAATAAGGGACACACAGGTAAAAGCAAATATTTATATCCGTTTCTGTACTTATACTGTACTTTTCTTCCCATCAAACAACAAAGACAGCCAGCTACTTGTGAAGATTCAGAGAGGAGGATCCAGACAGCAGAGACAAGTATGCAAAAATGTAGTAATGTACAAGCAGTTCAATACCCCTGGAACACAGAATGAGCATGTAAAAGTAGAAGGGAAACAGATGCTGATCCTTCCACCTCCTGGGATTTCAGGCTTACTACCATATTTAATGAATCCAAGGCTTTGTGCATACTATGGAATCACTCTTCCAACCGAATTACATACATCCTTAGCCTCTGGAGTGTTTTTTGAAACTATTATTACATCTGCGCGTCATCAAAGACCTCTATTGTTAAGATTTCCAGAGTAAGATCCAGTAACTTTAACATCAAGGTCCTCCATAAAATCTTGTACTTGAGTAAGGATGGAAAATTTACCAGACAGTCCAGGGGGTAAGACCCAAATAAATGGGTAAACATTCTGCTATTAAACAGAAGCAGTAAGATCACATCTGTGATAACTAATTTCATCCCAAGTTGACCTTTTAAGCTACTCTAAGTAGCATACCTTTATAAGAATTAGCTGCTTCAGCTAAAAACCACACTAAGGCTCTTTGAATCCAAAAACAAACAAACAACATACATGCAGCTAGCTGGTGTAAATCAGGCTAACAAGTGGAAGTAGATTCAGGAAAGAACAAATTACAACAGCACAGTAGTACTCCACCCTTAGATCCACTCTAGTCTCAAACTACAACAATCTTGCCCAGGGCTGTCTCCTCACTAGCTTGTAATTATTTACAACAACCCTCCAGGGGACTGAGAAATAGTTCCATTGCCAGCACCCACACAGACGCTCCCAAGTCCAGTTCCTGGGCACCAGGCCCATACATAGTACACAGACACACGTGCATGCAAGACACTCATACACATAAAATGTACACACACACACAATGGATAGTCACCACCTTTCATTATCACAATCTACAAAGATTCCAAAGTAATTACATCAACACTAAATATTTTTCTTTTCCAGTTTTTTCTGGTTTGGTTTTCTGAGACAGGTTTGTCTTATGTAGCCCTTGGCTGGTTATCTGCTTCTCTAATGCTGGAATTTTAGGTGTGTCACACCTAAATGTGTGAAAACCACAGCTGAAAACTAATGGTAAGAGCCTTTGTTCCTACTCTTCTCCAATTACACCAACACCCTCTTTCTGGTTTGTCTTCATCTCCTCACTTGTCAAACTTCTCCTTCAGAAAGAAAGCACTTCCTTCAAGACAGCCATTCTTGATTTCTAGTTCCTATCAGGCAACGATAAAGTTTTTGTGCTCTGACAACCTGGATTAGCCAATGAGTCTCTTAGCATGATTTAATACATACAACATACATTGCCAAGAAAACCAACTGTTGGCAAAGTTAGCAAAATTACAGTGTACACACTATTGTCCTACGTGTGAAGGCCAGGGCAGTTGTCCTCCACAGTACCTAACTCTTTACTATTTTTTGAGATGGTCTCTCATTATTAACTGTAGCTCACCCCATTCATCAGTAGGCTGGTTGGCCAGTAAAAAGACCAGTCCATCCACCTGCACCAGTCCCCACCCACCCTGCACGAGTTTTTCTGTGTAGCATTGGCCATCTTGGAAACAGGAAGACATCAAACTCAAGAGATCCGACTGCCACTGTCTCCTGGGTGCTTTTAAAATGTAAGCTCTGGTCCTCACATTTGCCTAACGACGCACTGGGCGACAATGATCTCTCCAGCCCCTCACAACTATTTTAAATGTCGCATTCTGTAATATTAAGGGAACTAAGAAGATAAGGCAAAAAGATTTAGCTGCTGCACTCGAAGACTGAAGCAGGAGGATCAATATAGTAGCCAGGGTTACAAACATTTGCCTCCAAAACAACAAAAAATATTCTACAAAACACCTGCCAAAATAACAGAGGGCCACAGTTTCTCAAAGTGGGAGAAAAGTATTAACGAGTCCGCATCAAAATACCCCCTGGAATACCCTCAAATACAATTAAGGCGCTTAGGTTTGAGACTTATTTTCTTTTTTAAATGCCTAGCAGCTTAATGGTTAAACAACCCTAAAGCAATTGTTACGCAGGCGTCTAGACACTGCATGTACGTAACAAGCACCCACAGCCATGGCAACCAATAAAAGGTTTAAAATGCGCCTCTTTAGGCTTAGGGTTTTTACTTCCTTTAGTGTACCATTAAACCACCTCAATAATTAAGTTGTGAGAACTGAGTAACTGCTCTCCACTGAAAGTACCGTTAAGCAGCAACACTGCTCTCGATCAAAGCCAATTAAAAAACACTCAGCGTTCAAGTCGCCATTAAATCCAACACCGCTGCAACCAGCCAAACAACTTGTGTGTTTAAAAAAGACGACGGCGAGGCCAAGGACCTCTCAGGCAGAAAAACTCCCTGAGGCGGAACTGAAAAATTTGTTTGCCCGAGCCACTGCGCTGGAGAGCGAGCGGCACACAGCGAACCGCGCGGGACCCCGGGGCCGCTCCCAAGACAGCAAAACGATGCCTCCGGGCC